GCGGGTGCCGACCCGCGCCATCGAGTAACGCGCGATGCGGGCGAGGGAAAGGCGGCTTCCTTCGTATGGATGTGCGTCTCGTCTTTTGTTTGGGGGTTCCGAGGCGGGGGGATGGGGCTGGTGCAACGTTCGTGTACCCCACCGAACTCCTCCATCTTCACTCCCGCCCGCTCGCCTTCCGGTGTGTCGAGGTAAGGAGGGAGGGGGGGGAGGGGAGAACTCATATGGTTTTAGATACAATTGGGATTCATACCATTTGTTGTTGTTTTAGAGTGTTAGGATAGTTGCGATGTACCTTCTAGGTTTACAATTCCATAGATTTACCCATATACAATTATTTGCTATTCTTTTTTTTTGGTCATTCTTCGTGTTGAATCACTCGCGTTTATGTTTCCCTCGAAGTGTCATCTTCAGTTGTTTGACGCTATTGAAATCCATTGCATCTAAAACACCCCAAATAATGTGCATTTTTATGATACAGACACTCCTTTTCCCACCCACTTCTTATTTTTAAAGACGTGCGTGCGTGCAAGCGATAGAGGGAGATGTGTGGTCTCTATATTTTCATACACCTTTATTTCTTATAGACACCCCTATTCATAAATATTGTGAAAGTTAAGTGAAACTAAATGCATGAGGATTCACACACGTTGCCGGCGCCTACGGGATCCTCCGAATCCCTGAGCGGCGGTTTAGATCCCACGACCTTACCCAGCGAACCCCCTGTTTGCCGTATCACCCCAAAGGAGTGGTTCGCCGTGGCGAAGTGGTCGTGGGATGCGACATCGGAGGTCTGCGGGATCTGCAAAAACGCGCTTGTCGACGCCTGCGTGGACTGCCAAACACGCGGCCTCCTGACATCTCCTCCGCCTCCCTCTTCAACCTCTTCGACTTTGGCGACGACGAACTGCCGGGTTGCGTGGGGTGGCTGCCGCCACGTCTTTCACGAGCATTGCCTCAGCCGCTGGCTAGTGCAGCGGGCGGTTTGCCCGGTGTGCGGACAGGACTGGAAGCTGCAGGGGTTAACCTCAAACGATTGAGAGGGGAACGATGGCATTGTATGACATAGGCCAGAGAGGGATCTCCTTCTCTATCTTTCTGTATATGTATATATACATATATGGATGACATTATGCCGCGAGTATTCATTTATTTCCTCTTTTGGTCACGTCGTTCTACACCCACCTGGATTCTGTATTCGAGGTATCGGGTGTGTGTGAGTGGGAGGAGACGGAGGGGGGGGGGGGCTTACATGCTGTTGGTTTGCGGTGAAACAAATAATGGGAAGTTTCGGCGCAGGTATTTATACAGGGCTTCATTCTTTTCTTCCTTTACTGCTTCCTTACATTTTTTTAATGCTTTGCCATCTTTTAAGAGTTTCATGTGTCGGAATAATAGGGTAAAAAGAAAAGATTCATTATTGGTTCGACATTTGTCTAGAGTTTTCGTGAAGGAGAAGTGGTGATGGTTTGATAAAGAGAGTTAAAGGGAACTTATCACATTGGAAATCAGCATCGGAGCAGAAATTTCAAGTTATGAGAAAACGAGGCGGGAGGATATAGGGTCAATAGTGTTACGAGCATGTGTTTCCTTCCCCTTTTATCCAAGATATTCCCGAACTATGCATACTGCCTAATGCATTTTCGAAGCAGTGTCCTTATCTCTGTATCCCAACAACTTTTTATAGAGATTAATGAATAACGTTTATTTTTTGTTCTGTTCCATATTTCCATTCCTTGTTTTAGGCTATACACTCATCAATAATATCATAACTTTTACAGAGAAAAATAATAGAAAAATAACGTATTAGCAATCCAAAGCAAGGGTCCAACTCGGCAGCTTACAGGCGACGATGTCCGACACGCAGGAGTCCGATTTTATACCCATCCAGACTGTCAAGGCGTGGATGAACGCCTCCGTTGTGATGGCGAATAAAGATCTTATGACGAAGAGCTGTCAGATCTGCAAGGAGTTCGTATGTAGGTTGTGTGTTCACTGCAATAGTAAGCATCCCCTTGAAGAGGATTGCACCGTCTCGCACGGGGCTTGCGGGCATTACTTCCACACCCATTGCATTGACCCGTGGCTTTTAAAAGGTCAGTCTAGATGCCCCTCCTGCGATAAGGCCTGGGAGAAGGAACGGGTGATCACCATTTGAATGTATCGATCCTACCGAATGCATGTGGGATATGTTTCTTTAATCGTTTTTTTTTTTTAGTATGAATAAAGGATTGTGGCTGAAGTGCATACGAACGCGTGAGAGGCTGATGGGATGCACACGAGAGGTGCCACATTGCTCCAGTGGCGTTCGGCTTGAAGCTGTGGATAGTGTTGATTGTGTTGCTGCAGTCCCTTGCTATTTGCTTATTCAATTCGTTTTGAGATTTTTCTATTTCTATTCAACCTGCTTTTTACCATGCATCAAAAAACCTCTTAAACGTTATCCGATAACTAGATGGGTCTGTAGGGGTGGTGTGGATTACACGGGTTCCTATTAGGATGCTTTCTCAATGCCATTATTTGTATATCCCTCTAATTTTTATTTCTTTGGCGCCCTTGCGCAAACTTGTTTGCAAGGTTCATTATAGTAGGACCACGAGTTGACGGTCGAACGAAGGCGGGTAGGAGCACCGAACACCTCCCAATTTCGAATTAAAATGTCTCATGCCGAGGCCTCCTACATCCCCACGGCGGGGATTCTGATCGAGACCTCGTTGGGCTCGCTTGTGTTCGATCTCTACGGCTGTGATTGCCCCGGGTTAACCGCGAATTATGCCAATCTCTGTCGTTGTCATTTCTGGAATGGCGCGGTCGCCACAGAGGTGATCCCGGGCGCGGCGATCTTCTTCTCGCACGCTGCGGATCCCGTTTACGATGCGCTCCTCGGTGGGATCGTCACGTCGTCGTCTGGGGGGGGTTGCGGGAGTTTCTGGGCGTTGCTGCAGCGCTCCCCGGAGGAAGGCTGGCGGCTCGACGCGGCGCGGCAGCTTCGCTCGCCAGGGTGGGATTCCACGCGGGAGCGGGAGCTCGCAAAGGCGCGTTCGTGTATGGGCATCACCCCCTTTGCGAGCCCCGACGGGAAAGGGAGGAAGGGCGTCTCCCCTGTGGTGTTTCAACCCGCAAACGGACGGCGGGCCGTGGGTTCCCTCAGTCGCCGGGGGTTGCTCATCGTGAGCACCCCGACATCGTCCTCGGGAGGGGGTGGGGGCCTTTCCTCGGAGGCGTTTCGTTTCGGCATCACCCTCAGCGATCGCCCGCTGGACTTTCTTGAGGATCAATACGTGGCGATCGGGGAGGTGGGGGAGGGGTGGAATGTGCTCGATCGCCTTCGCCGCGCGCCACACGCGGAGGCCGGCCCTTCCCGCTGGCCTCGACCCCTGCGGATGCTTCGGATTAAACACACAACGGTGCTCCCTACCGCCGGTGTGGATGGATTTCTCACGGCCCCCTCCTCTACGCTGGAGGAGGGGGCGTCGCCTCAGAAACTTCAGCAGCTTCAAACTCTCCGCCGTGGGCTGCAGGTGGCGGGGTGTTTCGCGTTTTGGGCACCCCCAGGGGCGATCGCGGCGGCCGCGCGGGTTCTCGCCCAACAGGCCGCCATGACTGCTACGCGTTACCCCCCTCCCTCTCTTCCTTCTACGGCAACCTCGGAGGAGGAGGTGATGGATGCGCTCGAAGGCGAGAAGGCTCGCGCGCAGCCCCTCGTCCTCCCCCCTCGTGTGGAGGAGGAGATCCCTTCACCGGAGTATAATGCGCATTACACCGGTGATTACCTCAGCTCCGGGGAGGAGGATCTCCCCTCCACCGCCGCCTCCGCGGCGGAGCAGCGCCAGCGACGGCAGGCCATCCTCGAGATGCATCGCGAGCACGCCAACACCACGCTCGCGCTTATGATGAACCTCCTGAACGGGGTTGCCGACGTCGAGGGGGAGCTCAAACCGCCGGAGAACGTGCTCTTTGTGTGCAAGCTAAACCCCATCACCACGGGCGAGGGCTTGGCGATGTGTTTCGCGCAGTTTGGCAAGGTTCTCTCCGCGGAGGTGGTGATGGATAAGTCGTCGAAGCGCTCCTTATGCTATGGGTTCGTGGAGTTCGATACGGTGGACGCGTGTTACCGGGCTTTTCAGAAGATGGATCGCGCCCTCATCGATGACTCTCGAATCCACGTCGACTTTTCTCAGTCGGTGTCGAAGCTGTGGTTTCAAAAGCAGCGTGAGATGCGAAAACGTGCGCGGGGAACGTAGCACTAGGGTCTGTGCCTAGACAAACAAAAAATAAATAAATCCCTGTACATGTTCTCATTTTTAGACGAGTTAAATTGATCCAAAGAGGATGGGGGAGAGGGGAAAATGAAGGAAGCTGAAAAAATTTGTCCCTCCTTTTAAAATTATTTTCCTTTTTTCTTTGTAGCCCAGTGCTTATGTCACGATTTGCCCTATTTCTTATTATGTTTTCTTAACATAAGTAAATAATCGCAATGCCTATCCGTCCACGTAAGCGGGATCGCACGAGGAGTTGCCACGCCGCTCAGGATCGTTTCATCACGACAGGGATCGCTGCACTGAACACTCCCGAGAACCTCAAGGCGGAGGCCTTACGGCGCATGGAAATTTATATTCTCGACTTTCTTCACGACCTCCATCAAGCAAGGACCGCTCCTTCCTCGCGTCCCGCGGCGCAGACGACTCAAACCGTACCCTTCCCTGCAGCTGAGACAGGAAGCCGCGGGGAGGTGCGCGGCGGCGCCTTCGGGAGCCTTTCCAGCCTCTCGAAAGTTCGTGAGGAAATGCTTGTGCTTCAGCTGCTCTACCAAAATGTCCTCCGAGGGGTGGTCTCCACGCAGCGCGATGTGTACTACCACCTTGTCCGCGGCATCGCGAGCCAGACGGCGGTGAATGAGGCGATTCGCCGGCTGTCGAGCGAAATGCGGCTCCCGCGAGAGGCGCTCGGCGTCGTCGCCGGCGTGCGTGGGAGCA